CGAGCAGGCTTTCAACCTGAATGAAATGGTTCCCCAGAGAAATGTGGCAGACCATCTACTTCAGCTATACCTCGACACTTTCGAGACGACATATCGAATCCTGCACATGCCAACTTTCTTGAGTCAGTATGCTGATTATTGGGCCAACACCCAGCCAATCGACCTGGGTTTCGTCGCTCAGTTACTCGCCGTGATGGCTGCTGGCAGTTGTTTCTATGTCCCACCTCCAGGCCAAGACGACCGAGACATATTCCAGAAACCGGCCATGAAGTGGATTATGGCAGTCCAGTCATACATATCGTGCACATTTGTGAGCCCAGAGATCGACTTCCGAATGATCCAGACCCAAACCCTTCTTCTGGTAGCTCGCCTCGGAGTTGCCAGTGATGGGGATGTAGCCTGGGCCTCAGCCGGGTCGCTGATTCGGTCTGCGACGACGATGGGTCTACATCGCGATCCGACTCGCTTCCACAAGGCTCGTCCATTCTATTCTGAACTGCGCCGTCGTCTCTGGGCATCTATCGTCGAGCTGGACCTCAAGATCTCTCTCGACCGTGGCGTTCCGCCGTCCGTTGACCTAGACGAATGCGACTGCGATCCACCGTCCAACTGGGATGATGCGGACTTGATACCGGACATGGAGAATAATCCTGCTCCGCTCAGTACTGCCCTTTATACCCAAAATTTCTACCAAGCTCTCCTAACCAAGACCCTCCCACTACGCTATCGAATCGCCAAAAAAATTAACGCTCTCCGATTTAATCTATCTTACGACGACGCCCTGCGAATGGGTGATGAACTATCCCGCTCCATGCAATATGCATCCTCTCTATTTGACGACAACGCCCTCAGTATCGCCCCGGGAGAATCAGAACGTCACCGATTTGCCCAATCCCTCCATCTCTTCATCATGCGCAAATTCCTCCTCGCCCTTCACCGCCCCTTCTCACTCAGTGTCGCCCGCCTACCCAAATGCTCTTACTCCCGCAAAATCTGCCTCGAAGAATCCCTTGGCATTCTCTCTCAGATGGAACTCCCCCTCTCGATAGACGACATCTTCTACCCACACATCACCCAGCTGGGAAGCGGCATGTTCCGCGACGAAACCTTCCACGCTGCAATCACCGCATGCGTGGAGCTGTCTCTCCAAGCTAATGAAATGAGTACATCTGCTACATCCGGGATGGATGGTGTCAACTCCAGCGTGCTCATGAGCATGATTCAGTCTCAGCAAAACGTGATGATGCAGGCTGTCGAACGCACTGCTGAGAATTTCGGGAGACGCATTGGTACTGGTGGGAAGGGATGCAAGGCTTACTTCTTTTTGAATATTATCATCGCTTCGGTGAAATCGCGCATCAAGGGTGAGGATCCTATGTGTAATGTTGATACGGCCTCGAAGAGATCCGTTCGCATCTGCAGGGAGATCCTGAATGGTCTTACATATCAGGAGGCTAAGATTATTGTTGATAATCGCCCCGTCCAGGTTGGTATCTCCGCTTATAGATGTGTGTCTACCATACCTAATTATGTTCCTGTTCAGACTTCCATTCCTTCGGGGACAACACCAGCCGCGGCCACACCAAGTGATATTGATCCTGCGTCACTTCTATCGACTGACTTTAGTGATTTTACAGTAAGTTATTATTCCTCAGATGTTTTTCAGGGCTGTGCTGACATATCCCAGCCAATGGATCTAGGAGGTTGGTTTGATGGATTGGACTACACTGGCCGCGAACTGTGGGATTGGGATGCTGGATTATCTAGCAACCTTCCGACATTCCCATGAATTATGTATTATTCTAATGTTAATGACAGCGCTTGATGCCCTGTGACCTTGTGTCTCTACTCTCCCCTTCTCAAACCCCACTCTCATGACCAACTATATATTCTTTTTGTCATAATATTTTTGTTAGATCAAGAATACAGCCTTTCTATGCCATGATATCCCGTCGTCAGCCATCACGCTTCTTCCTACAACAATATACATGTCATGGGTTTTGACATATTTGAATATTAATTAGAATAACAAGTAACCATTTGCAACCTATATCATCTATAGAACAACAAGCCAATTCAAACCCTCAAATACCCTCTATCTCTTTCCCCATTTCCTGACTGACAATCCGAGAAGAAGCCCGATCAATCCAATTCTTCCTCGAAATTGAAACATAACTCTGAACCAACCTATTCAACCACAAAGATTAGCCAAGCTCCCCTCATAGATCAAGTCCAAAAGAAGTATACTCACGCCTGATACCGCTGAATATTCCGAATCTCCACACCGGCCAAATCCCCTAGAGCATCCTGTATATCCCGCACCAGACTCACACACCGTCCCATACTGAAATCCGTCCTGACAACAGCCCTCATCATCCCCATTTCCGTACAATCAGCTGCCATAGTGTAAGCAGGCACGATCCATCCCCTTTCGCGCAGTTTCCGCGCAAGTGCCCATTCGTCGAAGATGACGTTCTGCGTTGGACTCAATCTGAATGCCACGACTGGTAGACCGTGTCCGTTCCCTTCGCTCATGATTATAAAGCCCATTTCTTGCAGTTGGCTGGTGAGGTAGTCGGCTGTCTTCGTGAGGTTTCTCATAATGCTGGTGTATCCGCTTCGACCGAGTCGAATGAGTTGGTAGTACTGGGCTATGATGTGGGATGCTGGTTTGGAGAAGTTCATGGTGAAGTTCAGTTGCTCGGAGCCGAGGTAGTCGATATTGAAGACGAGGTCTTCAGGGAGGTACTCTGGTGATCGCCAGAGGGCCCAGCCGATTCCGGGGTAGACCTGTGTAAATTAGCATACTGAGCTTGTATTGGAGTTGGGTGATTAATAAATATACTTACAAGTCCGTACTTATGTCCAGAGACATTGATCGAGACAACGTTAGGTAACTTGAAATCCCATACTAGATCCGGGTTCACGAATGGAGCCACGAATCCACCGCTGGCAGCGTCTACGTGAATAGGCGTGTCCAGTCCCTTTTCAAGGAGAAGTTCACTGATAGCTTGCACGTTTTCGTACTGGCCCGTGTACGTCGTGCCGAGAATTGCGCAGATTCCAATGGTGTTCTCATCGACCATGTCGACTGCTAGAACTGGGTCAATCACGTATCGCGTCTCCGTACATGGGACCAGCTTCTCGGCGATATCGAAGTATTTGGCTGCCTTTTCCCAGCAGACTTGTACACCGCTACTCATGATGATATTTGGGTTGGAGAAATCTTTCCCCTGGGCTTTGCGGTTGGCTTCCCAGCGTTTCTTCATTGCCAATACTGCGAGCATGATGGCTTCGGAAGATCCAATACATGACGTGCCGAAGGCAGTTGGATTTCCTTTGGACACTGGGGAGTGGAATAGGTCGGCGAGGATGTTCAGACAACGGTGTTCGATTTCGACGGATTTGGGGTATTCTTCATGGTCGATGACATTCTTATTTGATGATTCGACGAGGAGTTTGAGGGCTTCATCTTCCTATTATCGTGTTAGTGTCGGTCAACTGGAAGACGAGCAGTTGGAATACCATGTATGTGGTCACAAAACTGGCAAGACTATAACCATATGTCAGTACTGTTTTAGGATAATTGAAGAGCATACTCACTTCAAGATTGGCTGACCATCCAGGGCCAAATCATCTTTGATCATCTGGTAAGCCACCTCTTTTGGCATCCCTCCGTCCGGAAGTTGATGTGATGGCAAGGCCATGGTGGCGAATCGGGTACCATAGACATAAGTGCAGTCGCTTGTCCGCTCAGAAAGCGGTTTGGATACTCCTTCTATAGAACCCATGATGCAATGAGATAACGAGATATGTAGATTCAAACTGGAATACTGAAATTGGAATACTAAGATACTGATCAACTAGGCCAGACTGTCTTGAATTTATATTCTTTCTCATGACGTGGAAAAATATCTCATATCTAAATCGCGTGATAGAGCTATGAGGCATTTACAACGGACATCATGATGCGCGCTTTGGTAAAAAGGGGGCTTCCACGCTGTTTCAAGTTGGGCTCTGCGTTCATTTTTTTTTACTTTGAGGCATCTAGATGACAACGTGATGGACAGCACAACACGAATCTCATGGTATACTCGAAACTATCTATATCTGAGTATCAGGGGAACCTACATATGCTCCACTTAGGACAAGCCAAGACCTTCTAGAAGACATTGGCATAGTGATATTATAACGGGTTGAAACTATTTCCGATACAAATATGGTAGAACTGGCAGAACTGGGCATGATCCCTGCTATCATCCCTTGTTCTAAAATTGGAGCATTCTGGGCCTGGATTGTAGGGCGCTTATAATACAAAATACATACCCCCGTGCTCCGTGCTAAACATGCGATTTATTTCATTTGCGACATTTAACAGGTTTCTCTCTCTCTTAATTAGCCCCTGACTCGTAAGTGAATGTTTAGACCTCCCACCTTGTCGGGTGGGCCGGTCCGAAGGGAAAATGGGGGTGGCGCAGCACAAAAAGAAATGTACTTTTGTATTGATCAAGTGCTTCTTACACTACGGAGTACGGAGTACGTTGTAGTATACCAGGCAGCAAGATATTGGAATTGTGGCGAAAATAAGATAGGGCTCAAGTGTTAAGTGGTATAAATTCATTTTACTGTTGTGGCGTTCATTTATTGGATGTCTAAAAGTCACACGCATATCCTATTATCCCCCTAATTTTTCTTTCTAACCTTTGTGTGAGAATGAAACTCATAATATCCATTCAACGCAGTTTGACATGTTCTTGAGCGAAAGTATTTGCGCTCAATATATGACGCGTAAACAGTACATCCCTTGCTCCGGGATGTATGCAAGCTGCGGATGAGGTCAACAAGATAAGAAACCTCGAATGGTAAGCCCAGACACGAAAAAGGGAGCATTCTTCAAGGAAATACTCCGTAGTCATGTCGACATTCGAGCGATTTACAAAGGCCTGTATCACTATTTTGTATTCTGTTCATAACATCGGTTCTTCGCTTGCGGGAACATGATGCTACACCCAATTCTGGATATTAGTAGTCTTAATGTTGTGCTTTCATTATCAGGTAAGACCTGAAATGCCATATCTAGTATTTTCTCTGATTAATAGCTTTAGGAATATACGTCTTGGTTTTCGGGTTTATCGCTTTGAAAATCAAGCAAAAATGGTACCTTGGTGAAGCTTGTATGTCCTCACTCAATCCTATCGAATATCGGTCGCTGATGATATCTAGTACCTTCTTTTATAGTTGGGACTATCATAGGGCCCTTCGGTGCGAAGTTAGTCAATGTCAGTCAGTGGGGAGGAGAGGCCGACAGCGATGGTGGTGAAATTGGCGACATTGCCTATGTAAGTCGGTTCGCTGCAAAGAAGAACATCAAGCTAATAATGCTAGGGACTGACTAGGTTGGTGATTGGTATCGCTATGGTTAAAGTTGGTTACGAGCTACCGAAACGATACATTCGGCTTCATCTGGTCGAACTCACCATCTGCCTACTGCCATTGATGACGATTCAGTGGCTAATGACGTCGGCATGTATCAGATTAATGATCCCTAATCTATCGTTTGTGCGTTCATTTTCTTCAATTTGACATACGCCCACACTAACCTTCACATAGTTGACTTCTCTCATCGTCGGATCGTGTGTTATATGTATCGACCCGGTGCTTTCACAAGCGATCGCCAAGGGCCCCTTTGCAGATCAATACGTTCGACGACGCCTCCGAGAATTTATTTCAGCCGAGGCAGGTGGGAATGACGGGTTCGGGTTTCCATTCTTGCTTCTCTCCATTGCCATTCTTCGTTATGCCGATACCCCGGGTGTGGAGACAACAGCTGGTCATGGGAAACAGAGCCGTGATTGGATTGGTGAGCCAGATACAGGCCGATTGGGTGGAGATGTAGGCCGAGCTCTGGCTCATTGGGCTGTTGAGGGAGTGTTGTACATGCTGGTCATGGGTGCTGGATATGGTGTACTGATCGGATTCCTGAGCCGGAAAGCCTTGAACTTGGCCTCGAAAAGGTATGTACATATATGCCATCAGTTGAAGAAACTGGCTAATAATATACGAAGACGTTGGATTGATAAGGAGAGTTTCTTCTCATATCCAGTTGCGCTGGGTGTAAGTCATTCTTGAGATACAGTGGAGCATATGCTAAGATAGGATACCTTGCAGTTGTTTATCGTCGGTACCTGCGGCTGTTTTGGCTCTGATGAAACCCTCGCCTGCTTTATTGCCGGCTGTGCACTGAACTGGGATGGGTCTTACCACTTCGAAGTCGAAGAGAGGCATGACTCCTTCAACTCCACAATCGAAAATATCTTGAACATTGGGACCTTCATGTTCCTCGGTGCTATCATGCCATGGGACCAACTTCACATGTCCAATCAAAATGGAATCACTATCGCCCGACTAGTCGGGCTCGGATTTTTGATTCTGATATTTCGTCGGATCCCGGCGATCATGATGGGATATCGATTCATGCCTAAGGTCTGCGAAAATTGGAAAGAGGCCTTGTTTATGGGATACTTTGCCCCAATTGGTATGTTATCCCGAAGATATTTTGATTTTCTATGTCAAGTGCAATACTAACCAGTGTTAGGAGTTGGCGCTATTTCATATGTCGAGTATGCGCGACGATTGCTACCAGATCCTGGAGAGAGTGATACGGAGATCAACAACTTGACTGTAGCTATGACTCCGGGTATGATATTCTTCTACTCAATGAAGAATGAAGATATATACTGACCTTTGATTTTAGTGGTATACTGGCTTGTCTTCTTCTCCATCGTCATCCATGGGATGTCTATACCCGTCCTGAACTGCTTCTATAAGTGGTTTAAAGTTCCTACTATCCGAGACCACCCGGTGGAAGTCATTCTTCTATCTGAAAATGAACCTGTTCCTAACAACAGCGTGGTGAATCGCCGGGGCCACTCTGTTATATTAAACAACCGGTTTTCCTGTGCCTCGAACCACCGCCATTATTCTGATACTGGTGATCAAGAAGGCGAGGGGACAGACACGATGATGCTACGCAACGAGGGAGCTAGCTACAGGGGCTCGCTGGAAAGGGTGTCGACCAAAGGTTCGTCGCGTGAACTGGAGCAGAGTGTATCTGCCAGAAATGTAGTTTGATGATTACCGATGTAGGACAGGTTCTCGGGTGATACTGTATAGCCTATAGATATAGCCACACATGTACACAATAAGAGTCATCTCGCATGCATTGATAGAAGGGTAAATCTCTATTTTGCTTCTCAAATCCATGACTATCCGAACAGCTTTGCCAGTCCATCAGCGCTAACATTTCCACCGCTCAAAATTAGTCCCAAGTCCCAACCCTTCTCGCCTGCTTCCTTCTCTACCATCTGCCTAAACTCTTCATTATATAAAGCCACCGCCAGTGTTACTGCAGCAGCAGGCTCTACGACCATCTTGAGCCTCTCCAATATCAGCCTTGTTGCCTCGAGAATCTGTTCTTCAGACACGGCAAACATGCCATCAACGAGCTTTCGCTCATAGATGACGCTCCAGGGGATCTCGCCAACAACGCCGATCAGTCCATCTGCGATGGTGTTGGTGTTGACACTCGTGACCCTCTCGCCCGTAAGGAACCCGCGTCGACAGTCGTCAGCACCTTCGAACTCGGGCTCAACACCAAAGACCCGAATAGACGTCCCTTCACAGCTGAGCGCAGTACCTGCTAATAACCCTCCACCGCTACAGGGCGCGATGATAGCATCGAGATTGTCGGCTTGCTCTTGGAGTTCCAGACCGGCAGTGGCCTGTCCAAGGATGACATCTGGATGATTGAAGGGTGGTACAAGACGTGCGCCTTTCTCGGCAACAATCCTGGCGGCGGTAGTCTCTCGCTCGAAACGTGAACAGACAATCACGTTGGCCCCATACCCCTTCGTAGCTGCGATCTTGTTCGGCCGCGTCGTGTCAGGCATGACGATGTATGCTGGGATACCACTTTCCTTAGCAGCGAGAGCGAGTGCCTGGGCATGATTACCTGCAAGGACGAGGCTTAGCGCTGCGACATGAAGGAGACAGAGGAGATAGATGCCTTCTCACCTGCACTAAATCCGACGACCCCTTTTTCCATAACGCCACTCTCGGTGAAGCTAGGATCTTGCTTCAGCCTCTCGATGGCGTGGAATGCACCGCGGGCTTTGAAAGCTCCTATGCGCTGCAAGTTCTCACACTTGAACCATAGGCGTATGACCGGCTTTGCAGGCTGGCTATCTCCCTTCCCTTGAGCCTGGGGAGTTGATACCATTTCGTTCAATGCCCTGCTGGTGAGCACCGGAGTGCGGTGGATAAGAGGTTTGATCAGCTCATGGGCCTTGAGGGTGGACTCTCTGGTCAATGGAAGGCATGTCGAAAGTTCTGCCATGATGGACTTTTTGAATAATTCGCACAGGTTATTGTAAGTTTTGTTGCCTTCAATTCCAGCCGTGTATGCATACTGGGTTTTGTGGGCACTACACAAGGCGGCAAAATGGAGGTTCGCCGAGCACTAACCCCTGTCGTTGACAGATATATGAGATCGTCAGCTCTAAACTAAGAATTAATAAGCTGCCCATTAAGCGCTGTGCCCGAGATCCAAGCGTTAATAGTCGTCATCACATCCCTGATCGCCGGCATCTTGATATTTCGCCGAAATGTTGGGACTTATCGATTTAGTCTAAAGGCCCCTCATTTATTGTCACACTCCACTACCAAAACATTCATCCATATCTTCCTACTGCCCTCGCCATGTTAGCCAACGGTGACTCCGTGATCGTGCCTTCCGGTAACCCAGGCCTCGCCAACTATCCCCACGGCCGCCTCGCTCCCGCCACCCAGGTTCGCACTCTTTATGTATCCGGTACGGCCTGCAGACGTCCAGATGGCACATTCGCTGGCATTAAAGATAATGGAGACGGGACGGTAAGCTTCGACATCCGGGAGCAGACCCTGGCCACTCTTCACAACATCGAGGCTACTATCAAGCACGCCAGCGGTGGCCGAAACGGAGTCGAAAGTATTATTGATGCAACGGTGTTCCTGACCAACATTCATGCCCATTATGTGGGCATGAACGCGATGTGGAATGAGTTTTACCCTGATGCTGAGAGAGCGCCAGCGAGGACGGTGATCGGAGTCAAGGAGCTGCCAAGCCCGAAGATGATTGTTGAAATCAAATGCATAGCGTTGGTTACGGTTGGGAATTAATAGGTCCGAGGGTTATTCACAGACCCCATTGAATTGACCTTTTTTGTATGGAATTTGGCGGGGAGGAGATGAAGCGAGATGAAGCAAGACGAGGCCAGACGAGACAAGAAGAGACAACTTCATGTATGCCTTATACCTTAGGCACCAACATCTTCACGGAGGTTACTCCACACCTGCCCAGGTGATCCGGTGGGCTGACTGTGCATCCGGTGGGCTTGAACATACTTGTGTTCACACGGCAATTTCTTTCTTTTTTTTTTCAGCTTTCTAGTGATTGAATATGCCCAGGTTTCAATGCCAAGTCCCCGGCTGTACCTCAGCCTACCGTCGTAAAGAACATCTCCGACGCCATGAAGCGCAACATCGTGGAAGTCATCTTCGCACATGTTCTATTTGTGACCGCGTCTTTTCTCGCAGGTAGAGTGATCTGTGAAGTTTATATTGGCTTCATTTAATAATGAATATCTTTATAGTGACAGTCTTCGACGTCATATCCGTCGCGATCATGAAGACCCCGGACGCTCTCTTGTTCGCGCCACACAGGCCTGCATAAGATGTCGTACGACCAAAGCACGGTGCCAGGGAGGCTCTCCATGCACAGAGTGTTCCTTAAAGGGACAATTGTGTCTCTTTGATGATCCAGTTCACCTAGAGCCCGCTCAGCCAGATCCAGAAGAAGAACCTTGGGAGTGTGGCAGTGGGGATGATCGGATCAACACTTCAGATCGGATCAATACCCCCATCGGGCATATCGCCCAAGTGGACCATTATATACATCTTTACTTCACAAATTTTCATCAACACTGGCCAATTCTGCATCGACATACCTTCAGTGTTGCTGACGAGCCCCAATTGCTGCTTCAGGCTGTGATAATGATCGGTCTCTGGGTCAGTGGGAGCCCGGCAGCACAAGAAGGTGCTCGGAACTTACACTCCAAACTGAAACTAGCAATCTCGGAACAACAAGTAAGTTGCTCACAGGCAAAATTCTTTCAATTCATTAACCGTCGATTTGCAGGACAATTGGGCTCGATCGCCCGTGGAAGGAGAGCAAGATAACGACGGGTTAGACAGCCCGAGTTCACGATGGCCGATTGCAACCTACCAAGGCATTCTTCTCTGTGTCATATTTTCATTACTGTCGACCCCGATTGGTCTCGAACTTAACCTCGGCCTGGTCCTGAGTGTCTCCGATCGTCAAATCTTTTCCGCTCTGGTTGCAACCTGTCTGCGAAACAATATCTTCTACTACCCTAATATGCTTACAAGGTACCGAAATGTGGAATCCCTTACCTGTATGTGGGTGGGGGTTGAAGAAATCAAAAGGTTTGGATTGGCCTTGTACAAAGTCTCTCGGCTTTGTGGGAGGGGGAGTTTAGGAGAGTCTGATGGGACTGATAGTCGAGTTTTACGCCTCTCCGATCTACAGTTCCCCATGCCAGACGAGAAGAATCTCTGGGATGCTAGTTCGAACCCGGAATTGGCTCGACGTTTGTTGATATATTCTCGAAGAGATAGATCAGATGACCCTGGCGTTACCAATTGGGTTTCTCAAAGTGGAACGTTATTAGAAACTGACGAAAATTGGTGGAATTGAGTCAATGGAGAATTTCTGGCTTTACAACTCGGCTAAATCTTAGAGTCCCGTTGCTTTGAATCTCGGTAGCAAAACGGGCATGAGAAGAAGCCTAGTGGGAGAAAGAAACATCAATAGCCATATCTAATTTTCTATCAAAATATTACTCATATAGTGCCCCCTACATCTATGACAGGTTTAGTAGTAATCAACTCTTGCAAGGTCTCGCACGAATACTCTGCAATACAAGGAGTCTCTCTAGTTTAATTCAAAAGCATCTTACTTGCAGAAAAATGACGAGACCGGTTAAATTTAGATAACAGTATTGAAGTTGTTTATGTAACTTGTATATGCAATAGACCGATGTCTAGTTGATCTCACTTTCAGAGACAATTGTGGCAAAGCCATCGCCCAATTCACTGAGAACCACACGGACGACAGTCTCCGCATCCGCACCAGGAATGTGACGATCACCGACAGCATCGCGTACAACGACCACATCATATCCAAGCTCACTGCCAGCACGTGCTGTAGTGGAAATGCAAACGTGCGACATGTAGCCAACTAGTACAATCTTCTTGCCCACTTCTCCTAGTCCTTGCAAGTACTCATGAAGATCGGTTTTAGCAAACGAGCTAGGGAAGTTCTTTGTGACCACTTTCTCGTTTTCCTTGGGCGTAAGCTCCTCAAATACCTGTGCGAGAGCACTGCTAGGAGTGAAGACAGGTGCACCGGCAGGGACTTCGTGCACGACGTGAACGATGTTCTTGCCGTTGCCCTGTCGGTATTTTTCGAGCAGCTTGGCAATGACCTTGCGAGATTCGGCGACCTTCTCAACGGCGAGGAGGCCTGTGGCGTACTCGTTTTGAGCGTCGATGATGATTAGAGTTGAATCAGTAGTCGAAGCGGAGGAAGGGGGGATGCCGATGAGTTCACGGAAGGATTTGACGGAAGACATGATGAGAGATAGAGGTCTGGGGTTTATTCAAGGTTGGTTTGAGGTTGGCAGAATGGAAGGATGATCAAGTATAGAAGTGTGATCCCTTTCTCCAGATGCGATATGGTGATGTGATATATAAAGAGGGGCAATATAGTGGGGCCGGTGGGCTTTCCCCGGTCTTTACAGCCCACCGGGGCGTTTTTAGTAAGAAATAGTCTAAATCCGGACTATATTACAAACAATAGGGGATTAGACTGGAAGTACGGAGTAGATGGTCAAAGGAATAGTATTCCAAGATTATTCAATGAATAATTAGATCAACCCTAGAGGATCCGGAGGTCGCCATGTATATCCACTTGATATTGAACTTGTAGCCATTATTTAGCTTTTCCGGTATTTTATTTCTATTTTTATTTTCATGTTTTATCTTTGTCGCACTCATTTCAAAAAGTGACAAACATCAGCTCTTGGTATTTCGGGATTTTTCCGAGTCTTTCAGGCGCAGCATTCCGATTTTTCGAGCTGAAGACCATTTATTGTCTGCGAGGTAGAAAGACGACAGAAGCATGAAGCAGCAATGGGTACGTCCGCAGAGGCTAAAGCTAGGTCTTTCTGGATGCCGATTACTTTTGCCTCTCCAATTTTTCCGGTCTTGGTCAAGCATTCATGAAGACCATGAAGTCCCCAAACATTATTCAATCTTGCTTTGCGCCTGGGTAGGCTGTCGCTTAGTCCGAGGTCCTCTCGGTATACTAGTTCCGCTTCCTCAAAATGGCCTTGCTCTAAGAGCAAGGCACCCAACGCATGCCGAGTTGGCTGCAACCAAGGCGGCGGGTCCGAATAAGGGAGAGTATCTTCCAGAGCAACGGCCTCTCGCAAGCTCCGAAATGCAGCTTCGAAATTTCCCTCTCTATACTGGATCTCACCTTGCAGCATAGCTGATGCAACATTCAGTACATCGGCCTCCAGAGCTGGCAGGCTACTAAGACGCGTTCTCGGCACGAAGGCTTTCGCCGCCTCAAACTTGGCTTGCTCGAGCTTTGCTTCATCAACCCGACCAAGCACCGCAAGTGCAATACCTCGACCGTAATAGATCATACTCGTTGTAGAACAGTACAACTGCTTGTCCTCTGGTATCGGAAGATTTTGAAGAATTTCTTCCCAGCGGCCAAATCGGACTAAAACATGAACAATCGCACCTAGAAAGCTCTCAGCCCAATCTGCCATCGGGGGGCTAGAAATAGCAAGCACCTCGGTGGTAAGTATTCCAGGCAGACGATTTGCCGCAGAGAGCGCTTCCTTGGAGCGACCAGAAATCAAGGCGCTATATAGTTTCACGTAGATGTTGTGCGCCCGGTATAACTTATAGAGATTGGTTCCTTCCGACCGAGCAAAGAACCTATCATCGGAAAGCATAGCTTGGTGGTTTGAATCGACAGCTCTGCGATAATCACCACAGGCGATATCGATGTGTGTCGGCATATGCAGCATATGGGATGCCTCGGGCATTAAAAAGCGTAGCCGATCGGCTGCTGGCAAGGCGATTTCTGGATAAGGGGACATTTCCATCAAATGAATATAGAGATGGCATAACGCGGGATGTTCTGCCCCCCTGGAAGGGTCATCGCCTTCTCGATTATCTCACGAGCTAGTACAGTATGATGACCGGTAGGCTCTCCAGTATCAAGGTTCCACAGAGCACGCGGAGTAAAACACATCAAGGCTTCTGCCGTGAGAGCGGCAATATCTAGATCATGTGAAAACTTTTCGTACACCGGACGCATAGCCTCCCCGTAACTTCGATCCAGAGAGCGAAGGTCCTCAGGTATCACTTCCGACTGTGGAAATCGAGCTTTCAGTGCCTCGATTAGAGCAAATTCCACTGGGGTTTCTTGGGTAGTGTATGTTTGAGCTTTTTGAAGAAGGAGCCGGGCTTCGGTGGTGGATTTAAGCAAGTCGGAGCGATCAAATCGAATCCAGGCCTTGTTGTAGTTAGGTCCAATGGCATAGGAAAGACCCCAATATGCCATGGCACAAGTTTCGTCATGTGTAATAGCATTCCTGAAGCAATGGGCAGCTTCTCCATGATTGAAACCTTGGGCCCAGCGATATCCGCGATCAAACCAGAGTTGACACTCTGGAGAGCTTGTCTTCACGAGTAATTGATATGAACCGAGATCATAGTATGGGTCTTCCGGCATATTGATTTTGTTACCGAGGTTGTTCAAGAGAGCCAAGGTGGGGTTGGGAAGTGCGGAGAATGGATGGGCAACTCGAAGATCTAAATATAAACTCGTAACACATGAAAATCCTTACCTCTTTAGGTATATACATCGGCGAGTAGGGGACCCCCACAGATTCGGCGAATTTCAGAACATGCAGGTGTATGCTAAACGTGCAAATAGGTAGCATCCCGTGAGCATATAGTCTTTTGGTAGATACACGAGACATTGATCGTGTTCGCCTTGCGCTTATAGTCATTATCATCTATCTCGTACAGCTCATGCTCCATACATTTCCACTGAAGACGATTATTGTTATCGTATTTCTCCCTTTTGGTCCCCTTATGTGGGACTCTTTTCAGGTCTAGGTCTGAGCGAGTTTGATCCTACGCGGCTCTTCCTCGCGGTATGCTCGGTCATTCGAGTAAGTTTACTGGGGACGATTTCGGAATTTCGGAAATGGTTTCTATTTCACCGGCGATACAGTCTACATTGAGGAATTAAAGTCCATCGTGGACCGGTACCACATTTTTATAGCTGTGATGAATCTGGGTAAATGCTCATGCCCCCATGACGGAGGGCCCCCCATGGCCCTCTCATACAAATTACAATGGGCAGCAATGATGGCGCAAAGCTATTCCGTGCTGTCAAGGCTGATTCTCTGGTTCCCATTCATTTATGAAATCTGGGGGCATTTTACCCAGTTCGGAGATGAGCTGCGCCAGGTTTTTGAGGCTCAGGACATAGTGAAAAAATTTGTTGGCTCACAGGTGGTGAGAAGAGATCAGAGTTCTTTGATTCCTGTTGTTATGGTAGTCTTTTAGATAATTCCTTTTTCCTCGCTTCAAACTTCAAAGATGTATTCACTAGTTATGGTGTTCATCTCTCTTGGTTTCAATATGAAAAACGTTCTGATACTTGCACATTTTACTACTTGATCTCCACTATATCAGTATTTGGTATTAGTTCACTATAATCCCCGTGTGAACCCCCAATTTGTGTACTTTGTCGTTCATTTTGTAGAGCTGCCAGGGTTGCGAAGATCTCAGAGATACCTCCAGAGTTACCTCCCGTATAAATACTATTCCCTCTTTTACTATGATTTTACATCAATCATAATGGCTCTCAACCACTTAATAATCCAACTCTCGAGAACTAGACTCTGGATAGCATGTTTGGAGGAAACTTTAGCCTGGCATACCGGGTAATCGTCACAGCGACTCATATATGGCTTCAGGTGGATATATATATATATGTTCAAACATAACCTTGCCTTCAAACTACTATCTCACTGCCTTGTAATTTTCTATCCTTGATAGCCTAGAGGTTCTTTCAAGGGCACTTTTTCCGCCAAGCAAGTAATTTATGAACGCGCTCTTTAAAAAATCGTGAACACAAGGGATGCCAAGGCAATGTGGGTCGCTCGTTCCAATGCCTACACAAGTACGGAGTACACCTCAATACCCAAGATGAGTTTTCGAGCAAATTGGGACGTCATTCCTGGTTGAGCCCTGAAATGATTGTGCCGTGGTGGGGGAGTAAGGCAACGTTGGTTAACGTCAGGGAGAGATCTGCTCGGCTCCCTGTATGAACCGGTGAACATGGAAAGCCAGACCTGTCAAAGCGCCATGTCTCAAATCCTCACGCTAAGTTCCGACGGTGAAACAGTGGAATAGACACGGGCAATAAGTGCCACCATCATTCTCTCCCCAATCGAGCCTTTTCGAGCGCATACCGATTGAAAGCACCCCTTACCGCGCCCAAGTTGTCGATAGCCAAAATCGGGACGAGAAACTGCGGGTAGAGCTATCGCACTAATAAATAGTATAAAAGGGGAGAAAACGAATGAAAGTGCAATATTTTCAAAAGTGGACCCCCCTTGTAAGCCTGTTGGATGTGCGAGATCGGCGGAGAATGATCTCATGCCTCGGCCCCTCTTAGAAACAGAATCTCGACATAAAAAAAAAAGATTCGTCAGGGGAAACAGCTCTAACATTCCACAATCTCTAATATTCAAGAATGTCGTGAGTACTCATATACACTAACAAGGAAAAAAAAAAGAGAAACCCCAGACTAACTCTCACAGTGCCCTTTTAACAACTCTCGGTCTCCGCGCCGCCCCTGGACAGGTAGCCGCGAACCACGCATCGGCCTTGTTGGTGGCGAACTGGTTCTTCGCATACATTTTGACAAGTCCACGAGGCGCAAAGATCCGTCTGGGTCTTGATCACAATGTCAACCCGCGTGAGGACTTGACTACGTACGGCGAGGCGGCCGTGCAGTCGGGAAAGATTACCCGTCGCGCCCTTGACCAGCTTAAGCGACAGACGTCGGCACATGCCAATGTGCAAGAAGGGTTTACTTTGTTTGTTGCGGCGAGTATGTGGAAGTCTCTGTTATTGATTGGGTTTATGATGAACCTGCATCTTGTGAAATTGCTGCACTGTACTGACCTTACGATCTAGTCCTCGTCTCCTTGTACGCCGGTCTACCCAATGAGACTATCAACACTATCGGTGTTTGGTATTCACTTTCCCGTGTCGCCTACCACCTGTTCTACGTGAAAATCGAAACCCACTCTTTGAGCTTTTTGCGTTCGGCGGCTTGGTGGTCCGGGAACATTAGCTGTCTTTATGCATTGGTGCAAGCCAGCAAGAAATTGTAAAATATATGGAGGCATTTTTTTGATTGTCCTCTAGTCTCCGAAGATAGATGAGCTGAAAAACACAATACAATTGCATGTATAAGCCGGGTACTGGGTAAAAGATGGCCGTCGATATAAGCCTTGGAAGTCCCAGGTGGCGGGGCTACGCCCTAGGCGTCTTCTGTGGCAAAGAGTCTACCAGAACTGACTTGTCGAGCAATATGCCGAGTGTACCACGAATATGAATGTAAGGATATGAGGGAGGCGCCCGTTAAAAAAAATATTTCTGCAACGGTGAGTACGTCTACGTCGAATTGTCACGGGACAACTCACCCCATCCAAAGCTGGGCGTCAGCCACATTCATAATGATAATATCCAACGCAAAATAAAAACCCGGAAGGAAATGAGATCTTGGAAGTCCTCCATGCCTGGAAAAACCACAACAACATCGCCGTGAGAATGTTGGATGATGACCTGTTCCGCTGATTGGTGGAAGAACCCAACACTCAAGGCATAGATTAGCCCCAGACGGGGGAATGAATCCCGACCATAACGATGAGTTACACAGTGTCGAATAAGAAGAATTCAACGTCCAAGCTTGCCCCAGCTTGTCCCGACAGTCTCCCCGCATCCCCGCTTAATACCCTTGGCGAAATGCGGAGAAATGACTCCATTTACTGTCTATACACAACCCCCGGTAACTCGCTCAATTGCCGCATTCCACAGGCCCTGCCGATCCTACCAGCCTGCCATGCAATCGCTTTTTACAGGCGGAGAAATCTCTTTCCTCTGACCGTGCCGTTGCCTGGACATTGGTAATCTGGGGAAAAGAAGATTCACAATGGCCTTCATCCGGGGTATTCTTATAAATTAGCCATGCCTGCTTGACTCTCAGATCAACCGACATCATCATCAATTGATCTCATTGACCTCGCTACAATGAAGTTCCTCGCTATCGGTGCACTCCTGCTCAGCACAGCCAGTGCTCTTGCCACAGAGCATATTATCAAAGGCGCCCAGATCATCCCGGCCAACGATAAGGCTGCACTGAAGAAGATCGGTGCTTATGGACACCCCAAACACCACGACCGTCGGACAGTGACAATCCGGTCATCGAAGAGCGATACCGATGATGTGTCGGATGACTTCCTTTGGGGTATTAAGGCTGCCAACCACGGTGGCAGACTTCTCCTGCAAAAGGGGAAGACCTACGTCATTGGGAAGAAACTTGACCTCAACTTTTTGGATAATATCGAGGTGCAGCTTGAGGGTGAAGTGAAGGTATTTAGCCCTAATGCTGTGACTGATTGAACCCCTCTGACATGAACAGTTCACCGACGATATCGACTACTGGCAAGCAAACAACTTCTACTACTCTTTCCAGAAATCTATCACTTTCTGGGTTTGGGGTGGTCAGGATATCAAGATCTTCGGCAAGGGTACTCTTAATGGCAATGGCCAGGAGTGGTACAATGCCTTTGCCGGCTTGGAAGTTCTGGTGAGCAGAATCCTGAAAGAAATGGGGACGACTCATGCTAATGGGTAACAGGATCCGGACAACACTTTCTACCGTCCCATTCTATTCATGACTGATAATGCTACCCGCGTGTCTGTCGAAGGTATCACCCAACTCAACTCGCCCTGCTGGACCAACTTCTTCGTCCGCACCAAGGATGTCTCTTTCGATGATGTCTTTATCAACGCCTATTCCACCAACGCATCTGTAAGTCGTGCACCTGGTACATTATCGATCTAATCTAACCCATTTGAAGGCCTTACCCAAGAACACCGATGGATTTGACTCCCTCAACGTGGACGGCCTGACCGTGACCAACACCCGCGTCGACATCGGCGATGATTGCTTCTCGCCCAAGCCCAACACAACCAACATTTTCGTGCAGAACCTGTGGTGCAACAATACCCACGGTGTCAGCATGGGAAGTATTGGACAGTACTCGGGAGTTGAGGATATTATTGAGAATGCCTGGATTGAGAACGTGACTCTGTTGAACGGCCAGGTAAGATACTCCCTTAATATCGATATATGAGCGGTTGATCCTAATCAGAATTCAAGAACGGTGTCCGTCTCAAGGCTTGGGCTGGAGAAGACGTCGGATTTGGTCGTATCAACAACGTCACGTACAAGGACGTTCACATCGAAAACACCGACGCCCCTATCGTGTTGGATCAGTGCTACTTCAACGTCAACGCCACCACGTGTGCCAAGTACCCGTCATCAGTGAACTTCACCAACATTACCTTCGAGAATATTCATGGTACTTCGTCAGGCAAGAATGGTAAGGTTATCGCTGACTTGACTTGCTCGCCCAATGC